GGGGTCGTTGCTGTGTTTGGCCGGGTTCTGCCCTGACGCGCTCTGTGCCCTCTTGTCCCCCCAGCCCCCGCCGCGCTGAGGGCGCTGCCGCCACCGCCCGTGGCCGTGGGGTGAGTACTGTGGGAGCCTCTCGGAAACCAGCCTCTGTTTGTGCTTAAGCAACGTTATTCTGGGGGTTTGTCTTCATTTTTCTTATTAAGGCTTTGTGAGTGTAAAATAGGGACGTTGGGAAGGAACCTCTGGAGGTTATTTAGTCCCACCCACTTCCTGGAAGGAGGTGCGTCCAATGAATGGCAACTTCATCGAATCACAGAACAGTTTGGGTGGGCAGGGATTTTAAAGCTCATCTCATTCCACCCCCTGCCATGGGCAGGGACACCTTTCACTATCCAAGTCCCGTCCAACCTGACCTTGGACACTTCCAGGGATGGGGCAGCCTCAGCTTCTCTGGAGAACCTATTTTAGTGCCTCACCTGTTACCTGCTTATTTAATTGGAAATCTCTTTGAGCCTCATTTGAGAGTGGTTTTGGGGGTTATTTGTGTCTGGTTTTTTAATAAGAGCCATAATTGAAACTTTCTGTTGTTGTTTATAGTGTGCTGCACGCCACAAGACAAGTACACACAACTCAGCAGAGTTTGGCTCCTTTGCCACCTCTGCCTGAGAAAGGAGGAGAAGTTCGTCATGGTTTGATCCCTGAGGAGTTTTTCCAGTTTCTCTACCCTAAAACAGGAGTCACAGGTTAATATAGGCTATTTTACTGTTTACTAATACAGGTTTTAACTTTCCTACATTTTACCATTTTTAGTTATGTAGTTCTGTCCACCAGTTCTGGCTGCTGAAAAGGTAAAATATTAGTGAAAATTAGGTTTTTTGCATGTGCAGGTTGTGAAGGACAACCCAGTGCTGCATTCCTGGCTCTGAAGTCAGACACTTTAAATAAAGGCAAAAAATGCCATGAGCCTGATTTTGTAGGAAGATTTAGTTGCCTCTTGGTCCTCAAAACACTTGAACAGGGATTTTTGCCTGTTTCTGAGTGAGCAGAAGCAGCAGTGCCAGGTGCAAGTTGCTTCCATTTCTGATGAGATTCCTCCTGACACCTTTCCCTGAGTGGAACTGCGACTCTGCTTTTTGTCCTGGAAAAAGAGAACACTTCCTGATCTTCTTGTAAGCCTTAAACTGGCTCCCTCTCAGGTGTTTGAATTTACTGAGTTTCTTCATGCCTTGTACAAATAATGTTGCTTTGTTTTTTTTTCTTTAGGGCCCTACATGCTGGGAACTGGCCTCGTGCTTTACCTCCTTTCCAAGGAAATCTATGTTGTTAACCATGAGACAGTGGCAGCTGCTTGTATATTGTCAGTCATCATTTATGGCATCAAGAAATTCGGGCCTGATGTGGCAGCTTTTGCTGACAAACTTAACGAGGTAACAAAGAAACCAGAATCTGACTTT